TTGTGTGTTTTCTTATGAAACAGGTAGGTGAGATTTTAGGAGTGCGAAGCTCCACACAAACCATTAGGCAGGCCGGCTCTCTTTGAAATTCAGAGGTTAGAAGCCACTTTAAAGCCAAGCTTGAGCTGCACTTTGGCCAAAACTAGCGGCTCTCAGCTGTGAGAGGGGAGTTGCGAAAGAAAGTTTGCGTCGCTTGCCGTTTTGACGCCGAGCTTGTGGGAGTATTAAAAAGTTTGCCTCGTAAAATTATCTGCTAATTTGTCTTCCTTAATGTTTTTCTTGTGTCGGAGAGGCGCTGCTTAAATTATATCAAGCCTAATGGGCGTTAATTTAGGGGCGTGGGACTAATTTAATTTTTCTATCCCCCAACCGTGGCTAATGGCGCGCGCACGAGCGTTCCTCAATTAAATTTGTCTCGTGGAATGCTCTCCAGCCCCTCCAACTTTGCCGACTTTTTCGATATACCCCTCGACACAATGGGCATAAAAAAGCGCTCATTAAACTTAAGAGGAAAAGTTTTATCTTTATCACTGAAATCAATCTTGGAAGTTTTGCCAACATTCAGCAAACAGAAATAATGAAAAATAATTATAAATTGCTGTTCGAAACAAATTTCCTCCCAACAAGGAAAGTTCTTCAACATTCTCCAAGTGCAGCTGGTGTGAGAAATCAATGGACCATAATATCGCGCGTTAATTATTCTGCAAGTAAATTTAATAGCAATAAAGCGAGGAAAGTTTGCCAATTTGCATTGATTTAACAGCGGTGCTAATTGTGCACGCAAAAATAATGAACTTCCTCTTTCTTTATACCCATTTTGCAAATAGGACGATTTTAAATGAATATAAATTCCGTGGACAAAAAGCAAAGCACTACTAGTCTGGAGCAATTATTATCTTTGTCGCATGTTTAAAGCCGGGCAATAAATACAATGTGTTTATTTACTTTTTCTGTTCCCAATGGCGGTCATTATCCCACTTGCATGCAATTAAATTTATTTATCTCTGTAGCACGATGCGACGCGCGATTAACCGGCAAAGAGCAAAATGAAATAGGTCAGCGGAATTTATTCTCGGGCAAATTCGCTGAGCTGCGGTCAATATATGACTCGTCTTGCTTGTTAGCAAAATAATTCCAACTGATCCGCGCTCGAGTGCCGCATGCGAATGAGGAGATCATCGCGACTTTTTAATTAATACGCCCTGCTCGCCGTCCCACTCAAACATGCAAATTAACGTGCTTACACGTGAGCTCAGCACGGACGCTGCCAATTACCCGGAGTGGCTTTTTTCACTTCATACACTTCAATTCATATCCGGAGTAGTATATTTTCATACGCTTGCAATCTGCGCAGCTATCTATGAAATGAAAACCCTCTCAACCTCAATTCAAAATGCAAATGCAAACTGTGATTAAACCTCGGAGAAGAAATATATTTATTATGGTTCATAGTTGCCATCATTAAATGATTTCCTGGAAGATTCTTTATTTATTGTATTTACTTATAATTTTTATTTATTGATGATTTTACTCATACCAATAAGAACAACTTCACCTGTTCAACATTGTCAACGATTAGGCAATGATATATTATACCTGTACTTCAGTCTTCAGACAAGATAATTATATTTTAACAATATTAAATGATGTTTTAAATAACACCATACGTTATAATATAATTTTGAAATAATTACATCACCTTTTTAAATTTTAGAAATAAAATGAAACAAAAGCTTAAATTTTAATTAAAACCGGGGAAAATGAAAAATTGACTTCTACTGAACATGTTTTTACAAAAAAAAAAAAAATAATAACATTAAATGTTATGATTAATTTTTATGAGTAATAATTGTTCATATTTGTGCAATTTTTTAACATTAAATTATTGGGCACAAAGCAGTGTAATAATATAACTTATTTTTAAAGAAACAATGCATTATAATTACAACCCAACTAAACTTTTTCATCATCACTTGCCTGAAACAATAGTTTAAGTTTACAATTTATTTTCAAACGACAATTTCAAACCTAGCTCAGAAACCAAGTGACTTTTTAAAGGCATCGCGAAAGCGGCATTCCTGAGGCGCTGCAAATTGGCGCAATCGGCTTGATGGAAAATCTGGCACGGTGAAATTCAGCCCGGCGTGCGCGCTGCACGCAGTCATGCCAGGTATTAATTAATTAACTGCTCGAGGCAGACGCACGACCCACCGTTCGTTCGGCGGGCGAGCATCAAATTTTCAGCACCTCGCGTTCCAGCAGCGGCGAAAAATTGATTAGGAAAGGTTAACGAGTGCCTCGGCCCGATAAAGCATCATCGGCTGACTAGTTTAGAAGGGGGTGTTAAAAAGGCACCGCTCTCGCACACCCCCGCACGTCTGCAGGGTGGTGGTGGTGGTGCAGTCGACGCATACCAAACTAGCTTCAGCGAGAGGAGGACGCTGTTTGCCGTCGGGGTTGAATTTTAGTGCGCGCTCCATTCCCCCGAGGCTTAATTAGGCCCGACATTGTTCAATATGTCCTTTGCTCTCGTGTTCGCGGTCGCTCTTTCTGCCTCACCCCCCGCTTTTATATATTGCTCTCGCGTCCATATTTCGCCCCGTTATTGCCGTAGTTACCAAATTCTCTGCACCTTTGGGACGCTGGTCGAACGGCTCGAAGGTAAACGAGGACGGCACTTTTGCGGCTGCACAAAACGCCAGTTTGACCAAATCTGCCAAGCAATTCAAAACTTTTGATTTGTCAAAACTTTCTATTGTTGGATATGTTATGGTGATGACCAAAGGGATTTTAGTCCTTATAATAAGTTTTAAACAATATTTTTTGATAGTTTCTTCTTTGGAAATTGTAATTATGATGTTATGAGGTGAATATTATTATTCGATAGGATTAAAAAAATTTGTCTTTTTTTACTTTAAATTTAACTTTAAAATCTAACAATAAAACTATAATTTAAGCTTGTGTGCAGTTTTCATAATTGCTTTGTTTCATTAATTAGTTAATAGTCATTGTTCTAAATTTTGGTTTTTGTGAATATTTTAATTTTCAGGGGAATTTTTTTTTTTACTTTTAAATCATTCAATAATTATTAAAAATTGCTTTAATACGTTTATAAAATATGCAAAGGACTAAACAAAAGTGCATTAAAACAAATTGAAAGCAGAACAAACAAATTCAATTTGAAACAACAGAAGGGGTTGAAAACGAATCAAAAATCTGATTACCGGTGCAAAAATAATCAACGCAATTTGTTTGCTTTGGCACCCTCTTCATTGTTGCATTATTTCTCCCTGTGGCAACCTCGGATTTTTCACCACAACTTTAATGAAATAATTTCAAGCTTCATTTGCCCGTTCATCGATAAAATTTTATTTGCAGCAGTCAAACGCTGTGGGTTGGCTGTGTTTGCCGCCACGAGTGGGTTTGTGTGTACGTTTTTAGCACGAGCATGGCCGGCCAGCGATGCAAATTGTTTTTCGTGTTTCGCCGCTGCCGGCGAGCAAAAAGTATCTGAGCAAAAGGGGTTGGAAAAATGCAAATATAGTATGTATTCTAGAGCAGTAGCAGACTGTGTGCTGGCGAGGGAGGGGCATTCGGAATCGCGTTTTGTAGGCGGAAGGCTTAACGTAATGTCTTTATGGATAATATAATCTGCTGCTGCATTACGAGAGCCAGAGAGAGAGACTGTCCTTTAGCTTTGCATTCAACGCACACGCGAACCAACGGGACTTGCTCTCGTGTCCCTCTCGCACTTGTTTCAAGCGCACAGATAAACACGGTGCTCGTTCCAAACTCGTAGAGACCCCTGCAGCTCTTCCACTTTAATCCAAGGGACTCATCATAATGTTTAGAATTAATGTGCCGTCGCGAGAAATGACTCAAACACAAATTATTCTTCCATTTAAATCATCTTTATGCTGAAAAAAATTTAATACAAATTTGATGAATGAAAAATAAAAATTAAATTTAGCTAAAAAATAATATATGACTTCACTCCTGTAAAAGAATAGTAATTTTTTCTTGTTTTCATCCTGGGACTTTTTTTAAATCTTATGTATTTAAATGTACATAACCAATTATGAAAATTACAATAATAAAATTATATTTTGAATTAAACAAAAGAAATTTGATGGCATTCTGACTAAGTAACAATGCAGAAAATTACCATTAAATTATTAACATTGAACATTTAATTTTAGTAGGTTCATTTAAAGAATTTGCAACTTTGAGCCTCTTTTAAAATGATGTGAATATTTATTTTAGAATGTGTTTAATTCTTAAAGGTTTTAAAGTGAATTAACCATCCTAAAGAGCAGCCAGACTGCAGGATTGGCTCAACTTAATCAAAAACGACTCGCAATCAGACAAGGCAGCCGGCTGTGTAAAATTTACGTTGGTGTGTAACAGGAGCTAATTTCAAACTTTGCGAAGAGTCGCGAAAGCATCCGTAGATTATCAAAGCGACATTAGCGCTAACAACGTTGGCGCGCCATATTTTGACACATAATCTCGCCTGACAGGCTATGATTAAATTTACATAATATGATTGTGTAACACGAGGGGTTGTTTCGCGTGCGCACACACATTACGCTTCAGTGGCACACGCGTGGGACGAGAAGGGGTTGAGAATTGGAAATTTGAGTTGCTCTCGAATCTCGTCACAAACTCGAATTTGAGCACCTGCGGCAGATTTTCCGTTTCCACGAGAATATTTTCAGAAGCATTTGGCACTAAAAATGATTGATTGGAGTTTCCCCTCGTGGAAAAAATCCCTCTGGGGTCCAACTCGGGGATGAAAACGATGAGCATCCGAGTTATCCGCAGCCAATTATGTAGCCTCGCGCACATACATCCATTTTTTATTTATCGATCGCCGAAACGATACCGGAACGACAGATCTGATCATTTATCATCTGCCTCTTGGCACCCCCGCACGTTTATTTCGTCGGAACGGCTTTCTTATCCCAACTAATTGGCTCTTTTGCTGCCTGTTGTTGCAGGTCGCGTCACCCCTGTCTACAAAGCAACAATCATCTCTCGAGCATCTCATCTTGTGCAACGCAGGTGAGTCTTTGAGAAGCGCGTGTGCGTTTTGCCTTTGTGTGCCTGCAGCGTGCTGGCAACGCTGGCATAAATTATTGGATTAATTATTCATCGGGCGCGATCAAAAGCAGCGCGACTCTGCAGCGGACGGGCTGCGTTCACCCTGAATGCCCTCGCCCAATCGCGTAAATACCAAACACATTCACAAACAGAGAGCAAAGTGCTTTCAGGCAAAGTTCGCTTCAATAGATTATGCAGCAAATTCGCCTATTACGCAAGGGGATTACCAATTTTCCAAAACCACAGAAGTGGATCGTGGGTATAAACCAAGTTGACAGACTAATAGATCAATGTTAATAAATAAGCTCTTCTGCATGTGACATTATTTTTTTTTAATAATAATAATAATTAAGAAAAAAAAGTAAGCAACGTTTTTTGAGTTTTTTGTTTAGACTAAAAAATGTAATGTAATCCATTTTTTTTTTTCAAATTTTTTTATACATATTGCCTATTTTTAAAATTTAACGTAGTTCACAGGAAAACCGGGGAAAACAAGACACAAATTTCCTCACAAAGACTTGGTATTTTCCTATGACGTATAAGTTAGCTTTTTACAACTAAACGATTCCCCTGCACTTCTTGTTTTTATAGTTGGCATTGCAAAATAGAGCACTGTGCGCTTCAATTAATAATTCATGCGCGCGTCAATTCCCAGGAAGAATTGCGCGTTGGCAGTGACACGGAACGGAATAATTGGCCCGCGAGTAATTTCATTTTGCCGGCAGCGGACAGACAGACGGACTGACGTCAAGTTGAAAGACAAAAGCGGCGATGATTCGGCGAAAAGTGGAAAGCAGCGGCGGGGGTGAATGAATAAAACATTCCTTATCTGGTGGCCGTAAAAGTTGCCATTGTTTCTTGGCTGGAGCTCCACGCGATGAAATTAATTTATTCGCCATGCAACCGAGCAGCGTATTTCTTTCCCTTTGACGAGAGAGAAAATCTTTGAGATTTCCTCTCTTTCATCGCCAAAGCTAGCTTGCTGCGCTATTGTGTGTTAAAAATCTTTCGCAGAGATGAAAGGGAGCCGCGAACTTGCGAGACTTGCAATATATCCCTTTGAAGCAGACGAACAAGCGGGTCGCCCCACGCAATATTGTTTTAATTACACGCCTGCTTTCTTGCACTTGACCCTTCCTTAAACGCGGCGCAAATCAACTCTTAATAATCCCTTGATGGCAGAAACTGAAAAAATTCTTTGAAGTCGCTCGTCAGCCATTTTTATACTTTTAATGAAATCTGGCAGGCGCAAATTTAATTATTAAAACTGCCAAAGAGATGCACTTTTAGGGGGAAATTCAAACTCTCAATTGAAGAGGAAATGGAGAAGTTTGGAACTTTTTGAGACGAAAATCAGATTTGTTAGACAAGCCGAAGTGAAACGGGCCCTTCCGTCAGCCAGCTTGCGACTTTCGAAAGTGCACCAGCAATAAATTACGGGGGCGAGAGAGAGAGAGTGTCGGAAGCGGCCGGCGTTGTCGTCCTTGAAATAAAGGTCCTCGGTCTTAATTTCCTCCGAAGATGACGGCAAAAGGGAAACGCAATTGTATTCGCGCAAATGCCAGAGCGCCTCTCGTCTCGTGAAGAATGGCCGGCGCGGACAAAGGGAAATTGTCGTGTGCCCTCTCCTCCGCCCTCGCCTGCAACTTCCCGTTTTTTGCCACTTCTCTCTCGTCGCCCTGACTTTGCTCAAGGGGCGCAAATTACCAATGTGGTGATTAAAATTTTCAGATGAGTCATCGCCCAAAGGGTTTGATCATGAAACAAGTCGCTCGCTTGGCCGCATTCTTAAATTATTCGGCGCCAAATTAATCATTGTGCTCGGCGGTTAATGTCACTTTAAAGATGTTTCCCCCTTTTAGATTTTATGCTTTAGATTGCCAAATATTTGATTTGCTCAAAATGGAATTGCACAAAGGATTTTAATTTTTTTCCCAGGACTTTTTTATTATTATTTTTTTCTGAAAACAGTCCGCACGCTAATCATATTTTGCCGCAGCCGACGAAATTCCTTTTCGCATCCGGCACAATTTCGCCAGGGAGTTTGCAATTTAATTTTCGGCTAAGTGGATTTACTTCGTTAGGGCCGCCGAGGTTCATGCGCGCTCCACCCGCCGCCGACCAGAGTTGCGGCTTTCTCCTCTTTATTACTCAAAGTTCTCGATTACTCGGCGCGCCACGCGAAACTTTTTAACCCTTTCCTCGCTGTGCACGACTAACGGCGTGGAGCGAACGATGCCCCCTTGTGCGACACACTCAACGAAATTCCTGTGTGCACAGTGAATTTCTGCTCCCTTTAAACTAGACTTAGTTAGACCATTATTACTGGCAAAACCACAAAATAATTTTTTACTTGTAAAATCTTATACCTTCTAAAAAATTACATGACTTTTATAATCTATCCATAGAAAGTTTTATAATAGATATTATATTTCTGTGTTTTCCACTAGTATTAAAAAATTCATTAAAAATATCTTTAATATATATTTTTTTACCAATTTTTTTTTTCGCTAAGAATTAAATCACGAAGTTTATAATTTTTTTACTAAAACGCCACATTTCGTGTGCTATATTAAAATGGAAATTTTAGGTACAAATTTAAATTTTAACACATTTTAAAAGATATTTATAAAATTAATTTAAATTTTTTTTTATTAACCTTTGAGCTATAACTGTGTTGAAAATTTTTCTTGTTTCTGCTTGGCAAGTTTCTGATTTCAAATTTATTATCTACCAGTTTGTAAATTTCTAATTATCAGCCAAGGTTTGCCTGAAAAAATCGTTTAGAAATTAATGTTTTGATTATCTAGCATTTGTATCAAACACTATAATAAATTTGCTATTTCTCTGTACATTTCTCGTTGTCAGTAGTGCCTCATTCTGGAAGATGAAGCTCCTGATTAGAGACCATTTTGGCCGGATGGCGCCTCGCAATTCGGGCGAAAGTCCTTCAACTCTATTGGCGCAGGACGTAAGACGAGAAGGGACGCGGTGGGGCAAAAGCGCAATTTCCGTCTGCAGAGCGGCAAAAAGCGGTCCGTGTGTATTTTGGCGTTTTGTCCTCGACAGACGCGCAAGTGGCTCTCACTCCGCAACAATGTGTTATTGTCTCTCAGACCCCGATACACATTCCGCCAGAGCCGGTCGGTGGGCGGGCTGGCGAGTGTGTCAAGAGACGGATATTTATTTTGTATCTTCAAACACACGGATGCGCCGCAAAAAAGCGACCATTATATAAAAACCAGACTTTTTTATTTACACGTCGTTTGGTGGTTTTTAATTAAAAATATCGATTACACCTCGGACGACGGAGGCGCGTTGGCCGATAAATTTCATTATTAGTGACACCCCATTTAGCTTTATGTACCTTGGGCGCGCGCGAGGAATATATCCATTATTCATAAAATGCACAAGGCGGGAAAAATTGCCCAACGGCTCGCGGGACCCGCAGCAGAAGGGGTTTCTTTTCTTCTTTTTTTTTCACCCATCCATTCATTCTTGTGCCGGCGCAAAAAAAGTCGGCGCTTGGCAATCTTGTAGAGATTAGTCGCGCACTTTTTGCTCGGTGCCATATTTCAGGCGGCAATTTTTTTCTTCTCACCCCTGCAAATTCTCGCCGCGACATTAGCGCCTTTGAAAGCGGCGGCGCGCAAAGATGGTGCGCGCGGCCGAAAATTCCTTTTAGCAATATTACTCCGGCCGCGGTAAAGGTTATGGCCTTGGGATAAAGCAATCTCTGAAATGTTTTGCCAGCCTCTCTCATGCACGCCAGTAGTTGATATTTTTTTAGAATGAATGGGCCCTCTCGAGCGGGAAAAAAAGCTGCTCGTTTCAGCGTCCATGTTTATGAAATTAGTCAACCCAACGTTAAAAGAGACCAAAGAAACTCTTTTGTGGAATTTTTATTTATTATTCATGCACCAAAATTTGATGTTTTTCTTTTTTTTCTTAGGTCAAAGAGTTATATTTTTTCTAAAAAAAAGGGGGGAAACCAATGGAGTTTAGAAGATTTCTAGATTTTTTAAAATTTCTATATTCTTTTTATTATTATTCTCAGCATCATCAAAAGCAATAAAACTAGTATCAATAATTTTATGGCTTGGTATGGAAAATTATAGGAAAAAATATATTTCCCCCCCTACATTTCCACTTTTTAACTTGCAAAAAGAAGCTCTAAATAAAATTCCTGGTCCCCTAAAAATAATAATAATTAAAATTGCTCTAATTATTTTAAATGATATTTAATTTTTAAAGGATATTTTGGCAATATTTTTGTGAATAACTCAATATTTCATTCTCTCCATTCTTCAAAACCCGGCCGTGGATCAATTTCATTTCAAGGCCTGTCATGGTGCTCATCACAACCGATAATTTGCATCTTCCTCTCTTACTTTATCCCAGAGCCGCATCCCACGCACCGTTATTTGTGCATGAAACAGCGCGTGGCCGCTGGGTCGTTAGGGGAGCTCGGAATTACTTTTTTCTATTACCACTGGAAAATCAGTCCATTCTAGAAATTGCTTGTCCAAGTGAAAACAAATAAGCGAATGCTTTTATGACCAAAGAAAAGGGCAAATGTCGTACACAAAGCTGGCAAGTGATCATATAATACAAAAAAATAACTTAAGCGTATTATATCAGATTTTTAAAAGCTCAGGACCTCCTTTAGATCATCTTGTTCTGGAGGATCCTTTTTCCAATATATTATTATTATTATTATCACAGCTGACTACAGCTTTTGGCGCAAACAAAATATTTTGAATTCTGCTTTCAAATGAGTGTGAGAATGAGAGGCGTAATTGTAATTATTTCAATATTAGAAATTTTGTTTTAATTATGCAAAAACCTCTAGTTTTTCTGCAACCTCCCGCCGAGATAACCCCCTAGAAAAATGGTATTTAAATACTTTTGATAGTTTTCTTTGGTACATGCGCTCTACGAGCGGTCAATTCATTCGACAT